GGTCAAACAAGCATTGGAGAATATTGTGACAAAGGGCAAGTTTGATGGAAAGAGAGGCAGAGGCAGACAGAGGGAAAAGATACTGAACAAGATGACAACATGGCTGGGAGCAGCAAGAACAACAGACACCATTGCTGCAACACAAGACAGAGTGAAATGGAGGTCCATGATCGCCCACGCCAGTCGGCAAGGCACCGGAAGATGATGATGATTGGTCAAAGACAATAAGCAGCAATAATACCAGAGGGTTAGCGTAAAAACCCAAACAATACTTGACTCTTTAACGCTAAACAAACAAAACAACCGAAATCTCTGACTGCAAAGTTAATTAAGACGGTACGTGATCCCCACAAACACCAAATAGAGGTTTGATGCTTCTCTAAGAAGGGTAATGGTAGAAGTAACAAAGGCCCAATTCGAGTAAAAAAGCTTTTCATTTTCTTTATTGATAATCTATAAAGTTCATAATTAAGTACAGACAATGTAGAAAAATAAACGACATAATCAACACCACTTGGAGAGACAAAGTAAATGACTTTAAAAACAAAAAAACAAAACCCCCACAATAAAGCATTGACATGTTAAAACGGAACTTTGCCACATCATTGTACTCTCCACTCCCTCATTTCTTTAAAACAGGAGACACAATTGATAAACAAACGTTAACAGAAAACAAGCAAATTAATACACAATGATGAACAGCGCTATTGCAGATTGTTTGGACTCAGCACAGACGATTTATGATATTGATGAAGGAAAACTACACGAATGAATTGACACGTATTGCATGCACTAAGAAATATAACACAGAAAAACATACAAAGTACTCATAATTAAATGGTTGCAAGCATTTGACACTTTTGTCCATCTTCTTCGACACATTTATTTGGTTCAAAGAAATTACTTTAACATATGAATGCTGGTGTTAAATGTTTACTCAACACAGGTTTTAACAATATTTTTTTTAAATCATAGGAGTACTCACAAAATATATTATGCCGAACAATGTCAATGAGTGATGTCAATGGTTTGTTACTGAGCTCGAAAGTTGATCCATGATGCAGAAGACTCTGCTGGAGGTCACGAGTGTAATTGAGGTATTGTCCTGTGCATGAGCAGTACAAAGATAATATAAACGTTCATCGTTTTAACAGTCATTTGATCAACCTTAATATACTTGATTTTTTTTGTTGGAGATTTGGGTGATTTTGGGGAGGGGGGGGGGGGGCGGAGAGGGGGAGAGGAGAATGAGGTTGCAGGAGAAAGGACGAGAGGGGGGAGGTGTCCTTCTCTTTAGAGAAAAACTTATTTTTACTATTTCGACCCTATATCCACAGCACCAGAGCATAGAACACAGCATTGACTCTAGCTTTTCTAATTTTCAGACCTGACCTCTTTAGGACGCGAGGAATGTTGGTGAACTTTGGTTCCGTATTAGGTAACTGTTTGTTGTGTTGGGGCACTGGGCAGGACAAGTCTTGTTTCACACAAACTGTTGATGACTGACATACAAGCAGGTGGCGGCAGCAGTTTGATAAAAGCTCAAGCCACAAACAAACTCTGATAATAATAATATGGCATGATATACTGACTCTGATTTCTGTGGCATTCTTTGGGGGGGTTGCATAAGGAATAATTAACTCCTTTACCGCAAGATCAATGTATATACCCTCCTTGAAAGGGTTTACAAGAGCATGTGTATAACGTAAAGTAGCCCTTGGTTTTAAAGTTTACGAGAAAATAAGTACCAGCCGATCTGCTCTTTACATACTACACTCATAAAAGATTATTTCAATATATTACAATATTAGACATTTTTCTTGTAACTATTTTAAGCATCTATCGATTTGATTTAAATCATTTAGTAGGTTGCTTCTTTAACTCTGTATACCCATGCTGGATTGCAATGCAACAACATACCAGCAGACAGACATCGATACTTGAAACAAACCTAAAGACTTTCTGACACAAAAATAAAATGTCTGTCTTAAGAGAGCAACGAAGGAGCCTCGCTATTACGCCACTATGCCAGTTCATGAAGGTTTTCTTTGTTTGTTTTTTGTTTTGTTTGTGTGTGTGTGTGTGTTTTGGTCTGTTTGCTGTAAAATAATATTTTTTTAAATTGGCATATTTGAGACTGAGAGCATCCGAAAATGTTCCAAACAATCTATCGCACGAGAATGTTCTCAGTAGATAAAATGAACAATTCAGTTGTACTAATACAACACTGAAGGGTAACAAACAGAATACATCCCCAGAGATACAAGAAAGAAAACGGTAATGAATAAGCGTGAGGAACAACAATCATAATACATAATTTGCATAGAAAGAAAAGAAGAAGGGAAGGAAGAAAGAACGAAAGATAGAAAGAAAGAAAGAAAAGGAAAAAAGAAAGCAATTTACAAAAGAAACCTCACATAATTCATAGCATGTTCTAGCTCTTATATACATATAATTCTATCAGAAAACGCTCAATGATTTGCGTTTAAAAAGGCAGGCAAGTCTTTGGTCAGAATCCGCATAAAAGAATTTCGAAACTAAACGTTGCAGAAGAAATAAGGGGTTCAAGCAGCGATACTATGCACTGAGTACTAGACTAGTAGAGAGCCTTCAAAAGACGTTGAAGTGCCTGTGTGCTCATGCTTGTTATGCAAATATTCGCATTCCGTCCGTCTGGCTATTAACAACAACAAGAAAGCTTGCTTATACAAAATATTCGCCTTTTTCTTTATCTCAATGTCTCTCTTTCAGAGATTCAGACATACTCAAACACACACATAGACAGTCTCTCTCTCTCTCTCTCTCTCTCTCTCTCTCTCTCTC